TACTATATATACTATATATACTATATATACTATATATACTATATATACTATATATACTATACATACTATACATACTGTATATACTATATATACTATATATACTATATATACTGTATATACTATACATACTATACATACTGTATATACTATATATACTATATATACGATATATATATATATATATATATATATATATATATATATATAGAGAGAGAGAGAGAGAGAGTACATATGTGTGTAAATATGTATATATACATATATATACAGATGGAGGGCCTATCATGTTGGATCTTGTTTTTTTGTTTGGTACTTTTCCTTGGGTTTTCCTGGATTTGGTGTGCTTTTCTTGGTTTTTTCCACTGGAAACGAAAAGAAAACACACCAGAACAAGGACCAAAGAAAGGAAGACGAACAGAAAGAAAAAAAAAAACGGAAGACAGACGGTTTGAAACCCAGGTCCAACCCCCCCCCGCCCCCCTCCGCCCCGGTTTTTAAACTAAACTCCCGGCTCTCTAGAGCCGCGAAGAAATGAACAACACCGTATTGGCCAACACACAAGAAGGAGAAAGCCAGACAACAAAGCTTCAGGTTGGTTTGACGCGAAGTAAACACAATCAATCGTGAAGATTTAAAAGGTTTGCAAATGGGGGGGGCTGCCCCCCCCCAACCCCCCCGCTTTTTTAGACTAAACTCCCCGCCCACTAAAGCCGCGAAGAGATGCACAAAAGCATATTCGCCAACACACAAGAAGGGGAAAGCCAGACAACAACGCATAAGACGGTTTGACGCGAAGAAAACACAATCAGGGGGGCTGCACCCCCCCAACCCCCCGTTTTTATAGACTAAACTCCCCGCCAAAGCAGCAAAGACAACAACAGCAACACTAACCACAGCCACAACCACAACGACAACAATAACAGCAAGGTAGTGTAAGGTTTCCTGACAGGAACCAAGAAAAATCACACCAAATCCGTCCAAGATGCAAGCAAAATAGGGTTTCTCTTGGGTAAAGCCAAGCAAAGAAGCAAAGTCCAAAATGAGTCCAACATGTACGGCAAACGGTTTATTCCCTAGAACAACGCGAGGTTACGTACTCTTCGCTCGACGTCTTGTAGGTTTTTCTGAAGAAAACCAAAGACAATCACACGAAGTCCGTCCGCGATGGTAAAAGAAGGCGTTGTCCCGAGGAAAACCTAAGATAATGTACGCTTTACACGGGTTAATGTAGGTTTTCCCGCTGAAATCCAAGGAGAATCGCACCAAATCCGTCCAACATGTAAGAAAAACAGTGTTTTCCGTAAGGAGAAATCAAGGAAAAGAATATGTTTTCTTAAAGCAAACCAAGGAACATCACATTAAATTCGCAAAGAAAATAGTGTTTTCCCTAAGAAAATCCACGGAAAAACACAAAAAAGGCCAGAAAAAAACAAGGGCACAAAAAATATCCACCCAATGAGGGGCGTGTTTAAAAACAAAAGCATATATATATATATATATATATATATATATATATAGGTCCAGAGTCGCCGAACCGGGGGTTGTGCTTAACGTCTATGATTGCCGGAATCGCCAAATGAGGGGTGTGCTTTTCTTATATGATTAACCGGAATCGCCCAATTGGGGGTGTGTGTTTAAGATATATGCTGAATCCCACTGGTTTGGCGTGTTGAAGGTGTACCGGAATCGCCAAATGAGGGGTATGATAAACCGCAATCGCCCAATGGGGGATGCATTTACTAGTAAGATATATGAACCCCACTAGTCCGGCGTGTTTTTTTGTTGTTTGACGGATATCATTCGTGTTCTGAAGTTTCTACGTGGTTTTTCTATTTTCAGTACTGATTTTCTGTTGGATTGTTAAGCTAGTCTCTAACGCGGGCGACAATGTGCGCAGATAACCCAAAAGAACAAACGGAAATATCCTAATGATCAGCCCAAAACGCGGTAGGTCCCATGAAAGTGTTTAAAATAGATGATGAACCCCACTGGTGTGGCGTGTTGAAGGTATTTGCTGGCCAATAACGTCTACGATTGCCGGATTCGCCAAATGAGGGGTGTGTTTTTCTTATATGATAAGCCGGATTCGCCCAATTGGGTGTGTGTGTGTGTTTGTCAGATATATGATGAACCCCACTGGTTTGGCGTGTTTAAGGTGTACCGGAATCGCCAAATGAGGGGATGATAAACCGGAATCGCGTTTACTAGTAAGATATATGAACCCCACTAGTCCGGCGTGTTTTATGTGTTTTTTGTTGTTTGACGGATATCATTCGTGTTCTGAAGTTTCTACGTGGTTGTCTATGTTTCAGTATTGATTTTCTGTTGGATTGTTAAGCTAGTCTCTAATGCGGGCGAAAATGTGCGCAGATAGACCAAAAGAACAAACGGAAATATCCTAATTAATGATCAGCCCGAAACGCGGTAGGTCCCATGAAAGTGTTTAAAATAGATGATGAACCCCACTGGTGTGGCGTGTTGAAGGTATATGATGGCCGGAATCGCACAATGAGGGGCGTGTTTAAGTATATATGATAAACTGGAATCGTCCAACCGGGGGCGTTTTTAAGATATATGATGAACCTTAATGGTCTGGCATGTCTAAGGTATATGATAGCCGGAATCGCCAAATGAGGGGGGTTTTAAATGTATATGATGAACCGGAATCGCCCAATCGGGGGGCTTGGTTAAGATGTATGATGAACTGGAATCGCTTAATCGGAGGGCGTGTTTAAGGTATATGGTAGCCGGAATCGCCAAATGAGAAGTGTGTTTAAATAAACAAATAAATAAAGACATAAATACATATATATATATATATATATATATATATACACATATGTATGATAAGCCAGATCGCCCAATGGGGGGGCGTGTTCAAAAGATATGATGAACCCCACTGGTTTGGCGCGTCTAAGGCATATGATGGCCGGAATCGCCAAAGGAGGGGCGTGTTGAAATATATATGATAAACCGGAATCTCCCAATGGGGTGATGTGTTTAAGATATACGATGAACCCCACTGGCCTGGCGTATTCGTGGTACATGATAGCAGGAGTCACCAAATGAGGGGCGTGCTTAAATTTAAATATACTTGAAGACTCGGAATCGCGCGTCTTCAAGGTATATGATAGCCGGAATCGCCGAATGAGGGAGGCTCGTTTAAGATATATGATGAACCGGAGTCGCCCAATCGGGGTCGTGTTTAATATCTATGATGAACCCCACTGGTCTGGCGTGTCTAAAGCGTATGATAGCCGCAATCGCCAAATTTAGGGAAGCGCTCATCGCGGGGCGTGTTGGAGTACATGGTAGCCAATGTTGGCGTGTTTAAGGTATATGTGATAACCGGAATCCCCATTGGTCTGGCATGTTGAAGGTATATGTCATAGCAGGAATCGCCAAATGAGGGGTGCCTGTTCAAGATATATGATGCACCGACCTCTAAACCGAAAGGAACCGGGCGCAGATAACCCAAAAGAACAAACGGAATTACCCTAGTGATCAACCCGGACCGTTGTAGGAAGCTACCAACCTGAGTGGCCATGAGGAATGCAGTGTTGAGGCATGAGGGGGGGGGAACGCGTTTAAGATGTATGATGCACCGGAATCGCCAAATGAGGGCGAGTGCTTAAGATACGTAATGAACCGAAATCTCAATTTCATATGGGTCTTAGCTGTGTACAGGTTTATTATTGAGTTTTTGCTGCTGTTTGTATGTGTGTTTTTGCTGACTTTCTATTGGATTTTGGAGTTCTAATATCCAAACCTTAAAAGGACAAAGACGCAGATCAAACACAACAAAGACGCAAATAACCCAATGACTTGCTGGAAAACGCAGCCCGTACCAGATAACAACAAAAACGACGCAGATAACACAAAAAACAAAGACGCAACTAACCGAGTGATTTGCGAGAAAACGTAGTAGGTGCCAAATAAACCCCACAAAAAGACGCAGATAACCCCAAAAATAAAGATGCAGATAACCCATTAAAAATAAAGATGCAGATAACCCAACAAATAAAGACGCAGATTATTAATTCTCCTCCCTGTGCCTCTCAGTCCCTCGGTCTCTCTGTCTATCTGTTTGTCGCTCTGTTTCTCTGTTTCTCTTTCGCTCACCTCCGCTTTCCCTCGGATAGTTTGTTCGTCAACGTGAGTCCTCTCAGCCTGCTAGTTTTTGGCCTTGCCCAAGGGTGTGCCGAAGAGACAGAAGATGGTGAAGATAATCTACATCCGCACCGATGACACGCCGATGCTGGCGGCCTATTCTCTCTTGTTGATTCTCCCGGCTGGCTGCTCGCCCTTGGCTTGTTACAGGCCACCCTTGACTTGCGAGCATGTCGAAGGCGGGGTCCGATCCTCAAACGTGCGGGCGGAGACGTCGGACATGTCTGTGGCAGCAAGGCTAGCAGTCGTGTAGAGACAGCGGTTCTGGTTGAACTGCTTTCCTTTTGAGGACCATCGTCTTGTTCCCCACAGCAGTTACGACCTCAACAAGGACTTCGAGATGCACTGTCAGACCGTGGGAAGCTCTGTCAAAAGCCGGAGGTGGATGTTCCGGCAGGAGTACCATGGCATAAGGCTTTCCTTTTTCCGTCTCTCGATTCGCCTCAGGACTATCCCAGAGATCTGAAGGATGACGAAGAGAAAAAGGTGCAAGAGAAATACAAGCAGGTACTCGTAGGTGCTTTGGGCAGTCCTGCCGCCACACCGCAGCAGGTTTTGGGGGAGTGGCGTCAACCCCGTGCTGCGCGAGGTCCGGCGCACGTGACGACGTGCGTGGTGTCAGTCGCTTTCGTTTCGGAATGGTTTGGAAGAACGGCTCGGACCGAGGAGCTGCCTCGAGTGTGAAGAACTATTCCAAGAACCATCCGCACAGGAGCGGTGTGACCGCAGAATCGTGAGGGCCGGGAGAGCTCCGCTGAACACATGTCTGATGCCCACGGCATCTGAGCAGTAAGCGCTGATTTGCTGCGGTGCATGGCCGATGGACCCTAGGAATGTTGAGGTCCTTTTTAGGTGGGTGCCGTCCGAGCTTCATCCCGCTGATCGGCCCAGCAGCCTTCGAAAGTCGAGCCCAAAACTCTGTTGAGAAGTCTTCCGCTTTCTGCAGCCTGCATATCCTTTCTTTGCGCCTGTACAGCGCAGCACTGCTTCCTGTTGCAGAGGCACAGCTCGCGGCAAGGCCCACGGGCCTCGGAAGGGCTTCGCCTCTTGATGGCTGGAAATCTTCGCCGGGATGGGTTCGCACACGGTTCAACGACTTGACACACCCCGTAGTTCTTGTTTTAGGAGCGATGTTGGCCCCACCTTGCACCAGCTTCTCGGTCGCCCGGGACCGTATCAAGGTTATCCGAGATCCTCATCCTCCGTGGGGTTGCTTTCGCATCGAGTTGCAAAAGAACGTGATTGCAGCAGGGAAATGAGTTCTTCAAATCAACACTTGCCATCACTCGCTGGCTGGATTCCAAGCAAGTGCTTTTGGCTCCTTGAGAATCCTTCCTGAAGTGCGGCCCCTTATGAATTCCCTCGAGGCTACATGGTGGAAGTGTCGTCGTGAGTAGAGCCTCAGGTGTCTCTGTAATACTGTTCTCTCTTGCGGCAGTGGCACATGGCTCGTGCGAACTTGATAAAGCAGTTCTATGTTGCCTTCAGAAGAGTTTCTTTTGCAGAAGAGCTGGACATCTCACGGTCTCTGCCCCAAGCTGTCACAAGCTGCCGCTCACCACATGTGAGTGCCAGTTTGAACTGCTGACCTCGGCAAGAGAGCGGAGGAGTTCTCACCAAGCCGGTGAGTGCTCGCCAGGAGTGTAAAGGTACAGCCTTGGTTCTTAGGCCGCTTCTTGCAAGCGATATCTTTATCCGTGCAGGCGCAAGAGAAGTGACCGGCACGTTAGTTTCGAGGCTCAAGCGACTTCGTCTGAAGCGTCTACAGATGCCGGCGCTCTGGATTTTGTTTTCCAGTGATGGCTCTCCGCGGACAGTGGGGGGCTCACGCGCCTTGTGCATTCAGGGGCCAGTTTGAGGCTTCCGGCACACGGTGCTATTCGGTGCTAGGTCGTATCACTCACTGTCACTTCTTCTCATTTCCATTATAGCCTCTCTTGCCTCTTGCTTCCACAACTCAGGAAGGGCGGAATGGCCATGAAGGGCTTCAAGGGTGGCAAAGGAAAAGGAAAGGCCCGGCGGATGGACCAAAGCTTTGACGTGCCGCAAGCTAGATGCAGTGAGGCTCTATCTGCCCCGGAGCTCTGTCACAGGCAATTGTCCCGGGACCGACCCCTACGCCGAAGGGCCAAGGCCAGCTGTATATTTTCGCTGGCGCCGCATCCTGCGCGCGGGTTTGTGCAGGCAAGGGGATCGGAAAGATGGAGCACAAGGGAAAAGGCAAAGGCGGCATGAAGGGGGACCGGAGCTCAGAAGTCATGTAGTTGACGGCACCGTTTCGTTGCGAGGCCGAGCGAGAATCCTGCTTGGGGCCACAGTGCTGCAGTCGCTCCTGCCATGATCTCGTATGTGGGTATACACACGCATGTATGCATAACTGGGATGCTTTTCATTTTATCTGTGTTCCTAAGTTGCTGTATTTTCCAAATACGTCCGCAGTTGCAGACTTAGGGAACCAGTTGTCGCCCAGGCCCGGCGTTAGCTCGGCGAGGACACCGGTGAAGGAGCACAGGTCAGCGGGGCAGCTGGTGATTCAGATTATGTATGATGAATGTAGTATTTTAGCACATTAGGGTTATCACCACAAGTTGAATCGCCAGCTTGTCAGCAGCGGCCGGGAATGGGACGAGAGGGCATTTAGGGTTCCCAGGGCTTACTTAGCTTGTTTCAGTGTGTTCGGGGCGTGTCCTGTGTTTTGCGCCCACAAAATCTATGCACCAGGTTGATGCACAATGAAGTCGCTTTGAACATGCACTCTAGGCCTGAGGGGTTTCCAGTTTAGACGTTTTAGTTTAGTCCTTCTTTTTCAGGCCACTTAGGTTTGAAGTTTAGGTTTCATCGGTTGTAGACTCTACGAGAGATAGATATATATATATATATATATAAATATATATACACACACAGAGACACAGACACACACACATATATATATATATATATATATATATATATATATACATACATATAAAGGGTTATAGGCTGCAGGGCTTTGAAGGCTTTTCGGCGCCCTGGGTGCCTCGTCAGGACCTCATCTTGACAGAGGTCGTTCCACCGTTTTGGCCGGGGCCCCGAAATCTCCGACTTTGTGAAGGCCGTGCGATGCCGAACCGCAAGGTCAGAAGAAACGCCGCTTGACGAAGAGGACTGTCATAGACATTGTTTCCCGCCGAACTGCTAGTACTGTTGTATGTTGTCATAGATGTTTGGAGTGGCTTCGGTGAGGAGTGCGGTCATAGACACATCTTCCCGACGGAACATTTGATTGTATTCATCTGTTCTGTCATGGACACTTCTTTGCGAGGGAGTGATTGTAGTTAGTCACAGGCAAGTATTTCCGACGGCACGATGCAGGGTCACGGCCGTCGTGGCTGCGAGACATGGTCAAAGCGAGATCCAACACATAGACGGTGTTGGCCGTATAAGCCCATGGCCCATTCATTGTACATCTAGGCCACGACCGGGGCTAGGACGACTGTTACCATTAATATTAGGACTACCACTTCTCCTACTTGTACCCGAAGGCTTTTACGCTCGTCGAGCTCGAGCAGCGACGGCGGCAGCAGCTGAGAAGCGCATCGGATTCCCGAATGACAGATGATGAACGGAGAGTCATAAGCGGGTGTGATTGCAAGATTGACGGAGCTGCTACTAGCTATACTCGCCGTACTAAACATGAGCGAACGAGGTAGGCGCACCGCTCAGAGATAGCACAAGTAGCCCCAACCACAGCGGCTACCAAGCGAAGCATCGCCGTACATAAAGAGTTTAATGAACCGACGCACCAGGACTACACTGGCTTGCCAAGTCCCGGAAGCGGCGCGGAGCCCTGCAGTGCGACCTCCAAGTACGGCCGGAATTTGACCCAGGCAGCTCGGCTTCTCACAGGATGTTTTGGTAACAAAGGTGCGGTAACGCAGGTTGGTCCTCAAGTGTCCGAGTCCAAGCAGTTATTGAACCTTTTGAAGTCATGGGTGTCTGCTTCCATTAGCCAGGGTGGAAAAGCGTTGCAAGTGGTGCCACCGGGGGGCGAGTTCAGCTTCCAAGCAGCGGCTACGTGAACATTGAAACCAAGACTTCGCACATAGGTGAGACCATGCCCCACAGCCGGTGTAACCCGTGCCAATTCTGGCCTGAATCTGAGCCTCCCGGCCCCAAGCACGTCGACTGTGCCCTGACTGTGCCCTTTTTCTCTTTTTCAGGTATTAGGTTCCTGGTAACAACTATTCAGACATCAACAAGGGAGCCCGATTTATTCCTAGGCCCTAGTTATTCATCCATGTCTACGTGCTCTTGGTTTCAGGTTGGGTTTACAGTTGCAGCCGGTCTCAAAGTGGGACCCCAACCTTGCACACGAAATTCGTCCAGGATTTGGTGCCGGCCATGGATGGCTACGATGTTGTGTCAGCATCTCAGGTCCCATCTTGCATGTTCATGACTGTATTCGACTGTGAGTTCGCTTGTCGTGTAGCGTCTGCCAGTTACTACGCAGCAAGCCATACTCTGGAGGATCCGAGTCTTAAAGCCACGCCGAGGGTTGTATGGGATTTAGGGTCTGACAGGAACAGGATAGAAGAAACCGACGGTGACTTTGGGCGGCATGGCACGACTGATCCGGGTTTCGGGAGTAAGATGCTTTAGCGACAGAAAAGCTTCCGAAAATTCGTTTCGTTTAGCGGTGTGTTCTGCCCGGCCATTTTGACAAGGACTGGGAACTACAGACCTCAATACTTGTACCGCTACGGTGCTGGCCATGCTCTGCGAGGCGACGAGGCTGGCGGCACGGCCCACGGGGCGATGCAGGGTTCTGGGATCGGGTGAAATTCGATTGCAGCGGTCCTGCCTTGCCATGCACTACTACTATTGCTGCTGCTACAACTAGCGCTACTACTGTCGCGGAAGCATTGTCTGGATTTGCAGAGGTTTGCGAGCACTGGCGAAAGCATCTTGGGCATCCCGGCAAAATGCCGGGACATGGCTTCGGTCGAAATCGGGCTGAGGCCAGTTCCGCTAGACCGAGCTTCATGTGAGAGCATAGAGAGAGAGAGAGAGAGAGAGAGAGAGAGAGAGAGAGAGAGAGAGAGAGAGATGCGATTGGAGGAATTGCCCTTGTTTCTCCCCTTCCTGAACAGTGGCGTTTTCACGGGTCGCGCGCGGCACTCGGCTTTATACAGGAGCAGATGCGCACTGCTTCGGCCAACCAACCTCCGCAAGGATGCGCTGCCGACCTTGCTTGGCACGCGGCCTGTGGCTCACCACGTGCCTCGGCCGCCAAAATCCAGAAACTCCGACCTATGGTGGATCATGTTCTATTTGTTTCACGTGGGTGGGGAGTACATATCAGTTCGCTGACGGTAAGACTGTGTCAGTGTTCACCCGAAGTACCTGCACAGCTGCCACATGTTTCTCCAAGGAGAAGCCGTAGTTCAATTTGCCGTCATGACAAGCAGAAGGCAAATCTCTGGATTTGTGATTGGGCATCTGCACCTCCATGCTTAATGCATTGAAGGTCGAACACAGGGGTTGTCAGTTGCAGGGTTGCATGGTTGCGGTAGCTTGGCTTTCTTCCCTGAGTTGACGACACAGAGAGTAGTTACAACTAACAGAGAAAGTGCCGTTGAGCAGCCCACTCCGAGGAAGTGTAGAGCCGGTCTCAGTGTCTTGTGCCTGTCCAGTGCTAGAGTTCCAAGGAGTACCCGAGCTCTACACTCCAGAGCCATGACTCTTTATCGAACTATAAACCCTAAACCCTACACTCCAGACCCATGAGCTTTAATAAACTATTTCGAGAGACCCTGAGTTGAAGCTGCCGGACAACCGCGACTATGGGATGGCTTTCGGCAGCGGCGCGGTGACAGCTTGCTCTGCGGATTTCCAATGCCAGTAATTCGACTCTCCCGCCGCGCCGCTTGCAGCTTTTGCGAGCCACAGTATCAGTAGGGGGGTTCAATGGAGAAGCCCATAATCCATCACAGTCCTCGCGAGTGTAGCATTGTCGGGCGCTGGCATGAGATCGACACCGCCGTTTGGGCTACTGACTGATACTGCTCTTACCTGTGCTCGTAGCTTTGCAAGCCTCCATCCCCTCGCGGAAGGCTGCTACATACGACATACGCATGCATTGAGGATGGAAAGAGTCAAGAAATTCTCCAATGGAGAACGACTGCGTCCTTGGTGCCTCCGGTCATCAACAAAGTCTTTATGACAACGTGCGTGGCATGGGATCACGCAAGTTTCACAAGCTGAGCGATGGAAAGACACA